GGGGGGGGGGTCAACAACTGCTGTTTTATTGCTCTTTATAAATAAATAAACTAAACTATAAACTAAACTAAACTGTAAATACCTCAATAATGAAAGCACAGTTTTTTGTGTCTCTTTAAATGCAATAGAGCTGTTGCTCCCCGCTCCTCTCCAGTAAAGGGCGGAGCCTTTACATCTTGTGTCTTAGTTTATTTTGATGCTCATATGATTTTAAAGCTTTGTCAGTTTAAATTCCAGCTGTTTTCTGAGCCCAAAGACACTAAGAGCATACAAAGATGTTTGATGGCCCGTCATCTGAGAGTATTTAAAGGCACAGTTCACCTAAAAATAAAAATATCTATAATTTCAAACATTAGTTTCTTTCATCCATTAAACACATTACAGATGATATTTTTAAAAATGTTGGAAACCTCTATCGACCTTCATAGTATTTGTTTTACTTACTCTGGTGGTCAGTTCAGTTTAGTTCAGTTTTCTCCAAGACTTTTGTGTTCAATAACAGAAAAAAATCATAAAGGTTTGGGACCACTTGAGGGTGAATAAATGGAGTGTAAATTTTCATTTTTAGGTAAACCTCTTATACTTATTCTCTTTTACACCAAATGTCAAAAAAACACAAGGTTATTTCAAAACAATACATCCAATATTGTTTAAACTTGGATTTTTCAAATAATCTTTGTTTTTTCATGCCTGTGAAGATGCTAAATGACTAAATGTAAATGTAAATGTAAGATAAACACTTGGGAGGAGATTGTATCGGTGTCATTTTCTTTTCAGCTTAGTCCCTTTATTAATCCGGGGTTGCCACAGTGGAATGAACCACCAAGTTATCCAGCACTTTTTTACGCAACGGATGCCCTTTCAGCCGCAACCCATCACTGGAAAATGTGTCAGAATATTAGACCTGTAAAACATGCAGATAGCACATTGTGACTCAACCAAACCTTCTACCCTTGAATTATTTCAACTGAGAATGTTGTTTAATGCACACGCCCGAAATTACCTTTCAGGACTACAGTGGAGTTCACTGATAGAGAATAACTTGCTTCAGAGTGGACTTTGTGCTTTGGAAATTTGCAGATTTTGTTCATGCTTAAACAGCAACATCACACATTTAAGAAAGTAATTGTAAAAAAGCATGATATTACCTCTTCACATTAACTGGCGAATGTCTCATTTACTGTCATAAATGTAAGGGATAATGTACATCTAGGTGGTTGTTCTAGCAGAATAAAGCTGACAGGCTTATCAGCAGTGATTATATAACACTGAAAGGCTTTATTCTGTGAAAACCACTGCCTAGATACATTATCCTGCTTATTACATGGCTACTTGCCACCCAATGTAAACAAGTAAACACATAACATTGATTTGACATGTATTGATTTAATAATTAAACATAAACGTGCAGGTGAATGCAGCAGCAACATAGTATTCAGTCACAAGATGATGCCGAACAGTAAGAAAAGCGATATGAGTCACATGACATAATATAAAGCATACTTGCCAACATTTTTCTCCGAAATTCCAGTAGACCAGGGGGGCTGAGTTGGTTGGCAGGGCTATTCTGAGTAACGAAGTTGAGTACCAGGGGTTGTTTGTGTTGTAATTGTAATTGTACAATGGACCAGATTAGATTGACGACCAGGGTAGGGGGGGTTGGGGGTGTTGATGTTCAAAACTGTACCAAAAAGTTGAGGACCCGGGAAAAACTGGAGTGTTGGCAGGTATATGATAAATATGTATAAGAATGATGATTTGGACCAGCAGGATGCGGTTGTTATCTACATTGCTGTTACTTTGACTGAATCTTAGACAGAATGCTATATTTATAAGTGATATAAAGGAGGTTTTAAAGTAAAATGGTGGTCATTATGAGTTGTCAAATGGTAGGCTACATCTCGAGTAGAAAATAAGTTCAATGAAAATGCGGATTTACCACCCTTAACGGCTCTGGCCAAATGGTGATATAAATATTTATTTTTTAAATTTGCAATTCAGGAGATGATTTTAAGTATATATATATATATATATATATATATATATATATATGTATATATAGTGAATTAACAAAATATTTAAGGATATTTTTTGGCTATAGTTGCACTTGTACCGTCTGACATAAACAATGAAGATGTAAATTATGTAACTTATTATTAACTAAAAATATTAATTTTTCTTCGGCTTAGTCTCTTATTTATCAAAGGTCACCACAGCGGAATGAATCACCAACTACTTCAGCATATGTTTTACACAGTGGATGACTTTTCAGAACTGGGAAACATTGACTAAACAACTGACAGTATTTTCTGAAACATCAGCAAGTGAGAACAGGTGTGGTCTTATATGTGGAATCTGACCTTTTTTTAAACTTTATATATGCAATGTACTGGAAAACACATTTGGGAGTGGAGACCATAAAGCAAATTAAAATGAAGCAATCCATAAGCTTTACATGTATGGTCAAAGGTGCTTGACCCAGTGAAAACACATCATCTGACACTGTTTTACAGTCTGATCCTCACTCAACAGCAAGCATCAGGTTGGTTTTATTATTCATGTTGCCATAATAAAACAACTTAATTCACATTTAATGCAGGCTGTCATAATTTTACAATTTTTGTAATGAGTGTGACGCGACAATATTCTAAAATAATAATAATTAATAATTCCTGGTTAATCATTCACTGAGGTGTGATTGCATTTTTTCTGAACACTGAGAGATAAGACATTCACTATATATGTGTCTTTAGAGCCTGACAAGGAGCCAACAGATAGGGAACCGACTTAAGAGAGAAGGTAAGAATATCTCAAAATGTTATATTATATTATATTATATTATATTATATTATATTATATTATATTATATTATATTATATTATATTATATTATATTATATTATATTAGTACTACAATTCTGACACATTATACATATTTATAATTTGGAAATAGAAAGAATAATAATCATTTTTTGTAAAATGTGAATATTTGATTAAATATTTAAATTTCTTTATGAATTTGTTTTACCCAAATATGAGCCGGCATATTCCAATCCTCTCACAAGTCTTAAGAATCCATCATAACATTCAGCCAATAAAACGTATTGTTAAATTGGTTGTTGGGCATCTGAATAAAAAAAATGCTTTACTAGTATTCAGCTTTTTTTTTAAATCATTAGATTAAACAAGAAATTAGGAGATTCAGGAATAATAACACTGAATATGTTTTAGCACTGAAATACTATAATGGTTTAACCATTACAGAAACACACAAAAATATATCACAATATTTTGATAATTGCCAACATTGTTAGTTAGGGGCAGATGTGGTGGTCTAATATTTATAAAGCCTTCTATATTGCTTTTTTTTTTTTTTTTTAATTACTGTTATAATTTATACTGTTTTACTTTTATTCTGATGTAAACTTAAAATAAATTGTGGTTATTTAGAACATTTTTTTCAGAGGTTTATATTAGTTTTTAGAGAACACAATGCCAATGTTTTAATTACAGATCAGATAAGAAATATATGACCCCTGATAAATAAAGGGACTAAGCCGAGGGAAAATGAATGAATGAATGAAATTGAAGCAATAGATAATAATTTATTCAAAACAATTATTATCACTTGACTTATGCTTGTTAATAATTTATAATGCTCTTAATAATTTAATCACAAGTTATTACCATTTTTAATCATTGCTTGTAAAGCACTTTGGTCAATTCTGCTGAGTAAAAAGTGGCATAAATAAAACTGTCATTGGTTTTATTTTTAACATTTTACTCAACCCATAGTCCCATATCTTCTAAATCTAGTCATTTTTTTCTGCTGCTATGTAGATGCTCATTCTCCTTTCCTCCATTTTAAAGGAATAGTACATTTAAAAATAAACATTCTGTTATCATTTAATCACCCTTTACGTGTTTCAAACTTGTATGATTTCTTTCATCTGTTAAACAAGATATTTTGAAAAATGTTGGAAAACTGTAACCACTGATTGTAGACTGATGATAGTAGTGATTTGTTTTTTTCCTACTATGGACGTCAGTGGTTACAGGTTTTTAGTTTTCTTCAAATTATCTTTTCAAGAGTTCACATTTAGCTTATGATTGATAATAAAGCGTATTTGGCATGTCCCGGGAGAGAGCCTGGAGGTCAGAATAACCTCAAGCCCGGGGCTCCCTCCCATTTGAAGGGCGAGAGGAGAGTTTGAGCTCAGGTAGGTCTCGAGAACTCCCCAGCTTGTGAATATGCTGAGATGTATCTGGCTATGAGTTGTCAATTTACTTAAGGTGTATGTCTTTGGATGGTTAGAGGAAACCGGAAAACAGGGAAAACCCACGCGAACACGGGAAGATCATACAAACTCTGCACAAAAACGGCAACTGGCTCGGAGAGAACCAGTGACGTTCTTGCTGTGAGGCAACAGTGCTAATCACTGGGCGCCGTACCGCCCTATCAGAGAAAGGGAGGAGTAGGGGTGGAAGGGGGGATTCTTCAAGATGAAAATGACTGGAGTAGAAAGCTCTGGTTATTTATAATGTGTCAGTATTCATCTGATTGGTGCAATATACGGAGCTGATGTAGTACCAGCTGTGTTCAATCATGAGCTCGTGATTCTCTTGAAATTAGTTCATAAATAAACCACACTTTGTGTGTTTAACAGAATAAAGAATCTCATAAAGATTTATAACCACTCAAGGGGAAGTAAATAGTGAGACCATTTTCATTTTTGGAATTTTTGTATATATCCCTGTAATTTCAAAGTTTTGACCTTAATTAGTCTTAATTCAGTTTTCCCACATGAAAAAACAACAACATTTTGTCAGAGTAAATGCTGAATTTGACTAAAAGCAGCAAGATGATAGATTTTTCGTGGTTGTTTCAGGTAATTTGTTGATTGTTGGTGTTGTTTCAGAAGATGGTGAAGTCAGCGCTGGCCGTTGTGGCTCTGCTGGCTCTAGTGTCCAGGCTTCAGGCGTTTGTGTCCGTCGGAGGAAGCGGAAACACACATGTAACCATCACTGGAAACACTGTTATGGCAAAGATTACAGAGGTTTGTGAAGCAGTGGCTGAAGCAGAAGGAAGAGAATTCAAGCCAACGGTAAGCTTATCCACAAGCATAAATCCTAAATAAAAAACACCCTAAATTTACCATCCCAGTGGGCACTTTACCATAAATAACACGTATGAAATGCAAATTAATTTTATGTCAGTTAACTATTTCCCAGCAAATGTATAACTTTAACATATGGTTCCCGTTTTGGTTATTGTCCCGGGAAATTTATATTTGCAAGGTTTGATGTTAAAGTTATATCAAATTGACACCTGTCAAAAAACACGTCAAAATCGATCACGAGACTGTCCTGTAAGTAATTGATCTTTGACATGTTTTTCGACGCTAAGGTAAGAAATTAATTGTACTTTCGGGTGAATAAAACATTTATTATTGGCTAACAAGTTCTTTTTTTGTCATTATTTCGGTGGTCAAAGCGGTATCAATGTGTGGACGTCAAGGCTTTGATGTCAAAACCGATTTGCCTTTTAGAAAAGATTTTACGTCAGTTTCAATTTGGTGTAATTTTGATATCAAGGTGTGCGCTGGGATGGAAGTGAGCGACTTTTCTTCAGAAGACAAGAGAGCAAGTTAAGTGATTATTTATAAATCATGACAAGATGTTTGACACAGGGCTCGTCGGTAGAAGAGCTGCTGCGTGCATGTTTGGGCACGACGGGTGAGGTTTCCGGTGCCAAGTTCCGTACGGCGCTGAATCAGATCTACATGCAGAATGGCATCGTGGACCGGGACTTCATGAACAGTCCATCACACCACTTTAACAACGAGGCCTTCGCTGAGGGACGAAACCTCATCATTCAGGGCACTGCAGCCATTAAAGCCAACGTCCGGTCAGATAACCTACAGTCGGCCCGTGAAACACTGGGCAGAGTGTGCCATACACTACAGGTGGGCCAGAGGGTCACTCGCACAAACATACCACATACAACATACAACCTGATTTTACCAAGTAGGACATGTTCCTGCATTAACATCTATGTTGACAACATTCCAATCAGCCAATCAGAATTAAGAGATTCGTTTACAGTTTATGTTAAGTTTAGGCTTATGGTCAGGTTGTTATGCAAGTACTATTGCCCTCTGATTTTGGGAATAATTTACAGTTATGGTTGGGTTTAGGGGTAGGAAATTGGTAAGGATTACATTTTCGTACCCCAGAAGCAGCCTTGCACACATATTGAACGGTACCTGGGCCTGCTATCTTGTGGGCTGTTGTATTTGAATTTGAGGATGGGTAGAGATGTGTTCATGTGTCCTCTGAATACAGGTTTCTTGGTTGAGGTATTATACAATATTCTGATAATTTTATATCTTGCACCTGACAAATATCCTGATTTAGATAAAAAAAAATTAAACTAATACTGAAACTAATAAAAACTAAACTAAAACTAAACAATTTCAAAATATAGAAACTAATATAAAAAAACTGTAAATCTGTCTCTAAAAACTAATTTTCAAGAGTTCACACTTAGCTGATGATTGATTATAAAGCTTGTTTGGCATGCTGTCCCAGGAGAGAGCCATGAGCTCAAAACAGCCTTGAGCCCGGGGCTCCCTCTCGTTTGCAAGGCGAGAGGGGAGTTTGAGCTCAGGTAGATCTCCAGAACTCCCCTGCTGTAGTAGCTAATAAACAGAAAGTGATTGCTTTTAAGAGATAACTATTTACTAGGAGCATGTCTATGGTGCCGATTTATTAGTCAATTAACTTAAGTTGCATGTTTTTGGATGGTGGGAGGAAACCGGGGAACCCGGGGGAATCCCACGTGAGCACGGGTAGAACGTGTAAACTCCGCACAGAAACGTCTGCTGGCTTGGTAAGGACTAGAACCAATGACATTCTTGCTGTGAGACGACAGTGCTAACCACTGGGCCACTGTGCCACCCATCTAGGAAAGGAGATGGAGTAGGGGTGGAAGGAGGATTCTTCAAAATGAAGATAGCTGTTATATGGAACTTAGGGTATTTATAATGGATTAGGATTCATCTGATTGATGAATCATAAATTGAATAATGCGGGGCCGGCTGCAAGCAATCATAAGCATGTGATCCTCTCAAAATTAGTTTATAAATACAAACTGAATTTGAAAACAAAAGTCAAAACGAAATAAAAACTAAAACTAATAAAAAATCCAAAACTATTATAACCTTGTCTTAAAGAAAAATCTTTAATATAATTAGCATTATGTTACATACTAATATGAATTATTTTTTCAGGACTTTTACAGCCACAGCAACTGGGTTGAATTAGGGAACAAAAGTCCATATGCCAACCTCATCAGACCGGATCTGAATGTGGAGAACATTGCAGGTACATCAGCCAATCTGAATGATTTATGACACAGGCATAAATCACATGTGGGAAATAAATGTGATTACACCATTCATTCACTGCTGTCGTGTCCAATGTTCACATGTAAAACAAACAAAATCAATAAAAAAATCAATTTTAAAAAATGAAAGCTGGAGATTAGTCAACAGAGGACTTGCAGTATAACTGATAACAGATTACAAATGACTCTGAGCGGCATTGATCTGTGTTGACCTTATCTGAACAGCAAATAAGTGAATCGAGTGTTTTCGTCTTTGTGTTTTAACGGATGTGTGCAGATGTTGAAATGCCAACATGCAGTGACTGTGCCAGTGGTACCTGTACAAACCAACTGCTACCTGCCGTCCTGAATGGAAAGTTTCTCACTTCAGGATACATGGGATTGTTCTCCTCTGACAAACCTCAAGGTGAGTAAACCCAACTATCATGGGCTCACGTGTAAACAATAAAAACAAGGTAAAAAGCTTACTCATGACCAAATTAAAGGAACTCATGAATATTAAAGGGTACCTATAATGAAAGTCATCTTTTGTAAGCTGTTTGGAGAGAACTGTGTGTAGGTATAGTATGTCCACGGTCATATTGGGGTGATATAAACACGATAAGTCTCTTTATTCAAACTTCCTGGTGTTAAAAAGGATCCAAATCATTCCCATTTTGAGGACCACTGCAATCTCACTTAGGAATGCTGGTTCTCCGCCCAGTGAATTGATTGACAGCTGTGTATTAACATGACTCCACATGTTAATATAATCACATTTAATAACACATATAATCATATCAACAAGACAGGATGTGCACAAACCACTGGGATTAAAAGATCTGTTCAGCGCTCTGTGATCATCAATCATCATCAAATGAAATCAAGAATGAGCTTTACAAGCTTAAAACGTTTATAAAGCAATGCATGTTTGTAAGAAATTACAGTGATTTACTTCAGCTTTACTTGATCACCACAATCGTATGTCAGTAGAATTATAAAAAAAGAAGACACTCCAATCCCGGCTTGTGGATGTTAAATCAGGTTTATTTTGTACATTAATATAACGGATATCCATACATCAGTGGATATTAAAGTGTATCCTGTCACATTTGCGGTGCAAAAATATTGTAAAGTTAAATATGTGCGCTGTGTGTGTGTGTGTGTGTGTGTCTGTGTGTGCATGAACTTTGTAATGACATTGTGTGTGGCTCATCGAAAGGCTTTAATTAACTCCACAACAAATACATCTAATAATCATTGGGAAAGTTTTTACTGTAGTATTTCTCACAATCGTTACGTGAAATTCCTTTATGTCTGTCACTGTGCTGTTTATCTGACACAGCCGAGGTGGAGATTAGGACACACTCTGCCAGGGATGTGAGAACAGTGTGTGGGGAAAACCAGCATTAAAGGCACAGGCCACAAAAACAGCTGTATTGTGTTCAAAGCAGAAAATCCAAATATTCTGAAAACTGTAATAAATAATCGGATAGTTTTTTTGAGCTGAAACTTGACACACTCTGGAGACAGAAAAGACTTCATTTAAATCTTGAAAAGGAGGTAAAATAGGTGCCTTTTAAATGAGGAAAAAAGTGGGCGTGGCTTGTTTCTATTACTGCGAGCTGATTAGATGTAGTAAAGTAGGCATTTCATTCAGAAAGATCGGGAAAAGGGTTTCAGGAGAGACACCTCCTCCTCACCATTTCTGTTTGGTGTCCTAGCAGGGTCAAACCTAACAGTTGGAAGGGCGTGGTTAACATGCTATGTAACACCTAAGACAGACACAATCTGAGAATTTAGCTGAAAACTAACAGGAAGTGCGTTTTCACATTTCAACTTTAGATTACAAAGCCATTTTTTTTTCTTTATGACACGCACAGAGGAATTGTTTACCACAAAACTAGCAATGTGAGCTAACAAAATCAATATGGTATATTTGATTTCATATTAATCGAATCGGTCATTTATGTTTGAAAGGTAAATGCAGCCACGGTGGCGCGTCTGATCTCAGCAGTTCCCAGAATCCTCGAGGTGGGATCAGTAAAGATGAGCGTCAGTCCCATAACTCTAACCAACACAACAGTGCTGTGAACCTGGCGTCTGAAGCCACTCTAGAGCTGCTGGAGGACATTCGTGGAGCTATCGGAAACAAAGACTTCCTGCGGTAAAAGGAACAAATCCTTATGTATGTTTAGATGAATGTACTGAAAATACATTGAAGAGAATCAAAATGTCACGATCTCTTATCAAACTGTTTACACGTTCATTTGAAAAAATATTTATGCACTTATTAAGTAAAAGCGCATCAAATGTGACAGCAAAAATGAAAAATGTATTATTCATTTTTGTTTAAATAAATACTCTTCTTTTGAATTTTCAAGAATCCTAAGAAAAGATACAAAATAAATAGTGAGCAACAATTTTTAACCTAAAAAATAAATAAAAGTGTTTCTCTGGCACAAAAACAACATTTAGATTTAAAACTTAAATTTTTATAATTTAAAAGGTAAAATTTATGAAAATAGACATTACGTTTTAAAAATGTAAGAATATTCCACACTATTAATGTTTATACTGTATTTATGATCAAATAAATGCAGCCATGGTGAGCATTATACAATTTATGCACATTTGAAAAACAAATTGAACAGTGGTGCAGCGTTCCTTATAAGTTCTATAAATATAACATTAATGTTCACATTTAATAACTACTAACCAAAACGTTTGCTCCTCCATCAGACTGATGGGTATCGCACGCTCCGCAGTGCTGGCTTTTGTGATTGACACCACCGGCAGCATGGCAGACGACATCGCAGAAGCAAAGAGAGTGGCCTACAACATCATTGACACCAAGAAAGGAACTCAGGATGAACCGTCTGAATATATTCTGGTGCCATTCAACGATCCAAGTGAGCACAACAATGTTTAATGCATTTAAATGTTTCAACTTGATACTTTTCATTACTGAATGCAGCATATAACGGGTTTCTGTATTAGTGATGTTTATCCTCTGTAAAGAAAACAGGACGTTAGTGGTAATGCATGGTCCAAGTTAATTTCCATCTAAATTATTTACATTTTTTACCAAAAATATCTTAGGATGGAACATTATTTTACACCTTTTTCCCCAAAGTTAATCGAAACATCAAAGCAGCCAATTTACTTGTATTGAATATGCTATTTGTGTGGCCTAACGTGATGCAGACACAAAAACGACACACCTTTTATTACGCTTTTAGAGTTTGGACCTCTGATTAGAACCACAAACCCAGATGTGATGAAGTCTGAGATCTCCAAGCTGAAAGCTGAAGGAGGCGGAGATATCCCAGAAATGTGCTTGTCAGCGCTTCAGGTACTGTTTTGTGTAGCCTTGTGTAGCCCAGCAAACATAATAGACCTAGTTAGAACTGATGGGGAATACAAAAACTGATGCGTAGTAGTACAAATGCAAAGACTGCATATCCATATATCCAGTGTCTTGTAGTCTTCAGAGCGTCTGAATCATTCAGTTACTGCATAGACGTGTTTACTCTTGTTATTTACCTACTGCAGCTGATATGAAATGTTTCATATCCCAGGCAAATTCTGACTTAAAATTACCCTTATTCAACTGGCGAGATATGTCTTGACAGGAAATGACACAGGCTTCTCCCAAAAGATAATAAGACGATGTACAAAGGGATCATTGTGGGAAACAAATTTCTCAGCTTTTATTTACTGTATCTTTAAGTAAAATATCCTAAATTATTATTCATACACTTCTGAATAATCAATAGAAAGCCTTTTTTGGCTATTACAGCAATCAAACGCTTCATATAATTGCTGACCTGCTTTTTGCTTGTCGCCACTGCTATTTTTGCCCATTCATCTTTATCGATGGGCTGCAACTCTTTCAGGTTGGTGGGTCTCCTTGCCGTCACCCTGATCTTTAGCTTCTTTCACTGATTTTCAATTGGATTTAAATCAGGACACTGGCTGGGCCACTTCAAACGTTAATGCTTTTGTCTGCTAAACATTTTTCACCGTGTGTTTTGGGTTAATTAATTGGCCTGTTTATCAATTAAACTTGTTTTTTCATTAAGATGAACCTCTTTAACTAAACTACAACAAAGAATAGATATTAAAGAGGCCACATGAAGCTATTTTAAAAAGTCTATATTTGGTTTATTTGGTGTACCAGACAGGTTATACATCCTTTTTATATTCAGCTGTTTAGAACAAATTAAGTTGGATTTATTAGGTATGGATTTGAGTGGATCTTCTGTGAAGGGCTGATAATATTTTTTCCAAATTTTAAATAAAAATCTTGTCAATTAAAGCTATTTCTATTTAAAAAAAAAGTCAGAATAACAAATGTTTTGATTTGTCGTGATTGAAAATAAAGCTTTTCCACCAACTATTGGTCATGCCTAATGAGAGTTCTAAATGAGCTCTGTCTCTGTTGGATCCAAAATGGAGTTTAATAAAAATTTTTTTTAATGAATATAGCATGTTAAACTATAAAACTTACAATAACTTTTAATGACTGGCCTCTTTTTACTGCCTTCTTAGTACTATTAGCAGTTTTGTCAACACCTAAACTTTTCATTAAAACTAATAAATCTTATGTCTCTCCCACAGTTGTCTCTGACTGGTGCACCATCTTCTTCCCATATCTACGTGTTCACCGACGCTCCACCAAAAGATACTCACCTGGAGAAAACCATCACAGCCCTCATCCGTAGCACCAAGTCCACTGTACATCCATCCACCCCAGTAATTTTAGCAATTGAGTATTCCACAGTCACTCCATCATTTTCACAATCCTCACCATTTCTCTCCAGGTGTCTTTCTTCATGACCCCATCAAAGAGGAGGAGGAGGGCAGTGGCAGCAGCCTCTACGTTTCAGGTGTATTACGACATGGCTTTAGCTTCTGGAGGTCAAGCTATCGAGGTCCCCAAATCCAGCCTCTCTCAAGCCACCGACATCATTGTGGACACCTCCACTTCAGCACTGGTATGATCAGAAGATTATTTCTGTGGCAATAATGTAAACAACATATGAACAAAATGCTCATAATCACAGATAAATAAGTGTAAACGCACAGTTAGAGGAGTTCCTAATTCTCTGAGAGGATATCAGATTTTACTGTCTTCAATTTTTCGACACAACATAAATCAATCCTAATTTAAAACTGTACTTTGCATCTTAACAACCTAGCGGACCTTTTAGTCATAGATTGCCATTTAAAAAAGTCTTAATTTGCTTAGAGTGGTGTCAGGAACACAATTTAACCGTAGTAATTGGTCAAAGAGGGCGACGCGGTGGCGCAGTAGGTAGTGCTGTCGCCTCACAGCAAGATTGCTGATTTGAGATGTTTACTGCATGATGACCAAAATGGCCTTAAACAACCAGCAGGCACAAGACGTCAACATGATGCCAGATTGATTCTTTACCCCAACGTCGTGGGGACGTATTTTGTTTGGAAATGAAAATCAGAACCCAAAATCAGGCCGACGCCAATGTCCAACCTAAAATCAACGTCTAATGATGTTACAACTTGACGTTGTGTGGACGTTACCACTATAATGTCTAGCAGATGTTGGATTTTGGTTGCCATACCTGATGAATAAATGTCAGTATTTGACGATAATAAGACATTGGTTTAAGATGTTGGCTCGACGTTGAATTTTTGTCACTTTCTAACGCAATCTAAAATCAACCAAATATCAACGTCGTTTGCTGTTGTTATTGGTGATCAAAATAACGTCCTTAGACGCTGGTTAAACATTGAATTTTGGTCACCTGACATCACAACCTAAATCTAACCTAATATTAACGTCTTATTACATTGTGTGCCTGCTGGCAGATTGTTACGTTTACACACACATGCATAAATTACATGTAAATACATCAGATTTTTTACACCGTAATACTCACTGCTCTTGACTACTTTTGAAAGGGCTACTTTTTACTCACACTCATAGTTTTAGGCAAGTAATGGTACTTTTACCTTTAGTATGAATTTTTCAGTACTCACTCCACCACTGGAGCCAGTTTAATTTTACCATAGTAAATAGGGTAGAAAATCTTAATCTGAATCATGCACAACATGAAGTTGTGTTTATTCTTTTTCCCAAGTGTCTTTGAATATATCAAATATATTTTGGAAATGAGGCACTTGAGGTGTGTAATGGTTTTATTAATGAAGTCCAGTGGTTTAGAGGGCATTTGAGAAAACACAGACCAGTGGAGCTTAATAAAGTGAAGCTACTTATATTTCTGATTTTTGAAGATCACATTGTCCAGTGTATTTTTTGTTTATAATATTTTTACATTTATGAAGGTGCTGTATATTAAACCATTATACAACTATGGGAAAAAATGAACTTGAAAGTTCTTAGTTTATTCTTTGGATTTATTAAATGATGGAAAATCAATGTCATTCCATCAAATAGATTTTTTAACTCTTCTGAAGTTAAACACTGGTATTTTGTTAAAAACGAACATGTACATGTCTAAAGTCATGGCACATTCTTTGTTGTTTTGTGCAAAAACATGCTCTTAATGGCAACGTGTTTGAGTAAACTTTCAGAAACTACTGATGATGTTTCTTCCAAATGTAAAATAAAGATGTCATTCTGAGCCTATTATAAAGTAAAATATAATAAAATAACGTATTCATTTTCAGATTACACAGTACCAATGTTTTAACCTAAGAAATCGATTTTTGTCCACAAATGAACACTTTGTTTTTTCTAACCAGTTGTCATTTTCTGATGAAAGACATTTTGTAAATGACAATATTTTCATTAGAAATTTTGATTGATGAATAAAATAAACATTAACATTTACTTCAAAACCATACTAAATTAATCTTCAAGCTGTCTCTTATTTTTATTTCATAGCTGTGCTGAAATAGGCTAATTGTACTGTACTTTATGGGATTTTCTATGCTTTATACTCATTATACTCTGAAAACATATACATTTCCCCTGTACGATCAATGTGTAAATACAGTCATTTTGACATGACTTGAACTCCTATTTGAGTAATTTTGGTTAATATTTGCCAAATATACTCTTTCTTCTTCTGATAGGTGACCATTCTCCAGCGCTCCAGGAGTCCGGGACGGAAAGAGAGTTTCCCTTTCCTGTTGGACAAGTCTATGTCCAACACTACCATCTACATCACAGGAAGCAGCCTCACATTCAACCTGCACAGCCCTTCTGGTACAGTCATGACACTAAGAACTAAACAAAAACACATTGTGAGTTAAAATAAACATATTGTAAACATGGCACAACTGAAAATGAATACAAATGATCATAATTAGAAATGTAAAGTGATTCTTCATTTATTTAGTTATTTTTATCATGCTTTCTTTGGTCCTAGACTTTAATATGTAGTTTCATTATTCTGCTTATTTTAAATATTGATTTAATAAATTTCTTATTTTTATGTTAGTTCTAGTTGGGCATAAAAAGAAAAAACAAACAGACAATGTTTGCTTTTTGTATTGTTTGTTGTTGTTTTTGTTTTACTATACCTATCTAAAAATGATCACCCCAAAATTATTATTTACTCACTCTCCACTTGTTCCAAAGCTTTACTGGTTTCTTTCTTCTGTTGAACACAAAAGAATATATATTAAAGTGTGTTAATTTTGACAGCACTTTAAACCAAGAGAATCCAAATCTAAATAAATAATTAAATAAATGATAAAAAGTAACAGTGTTTGAGGTAACAGTTAGATGTTATTGAAAATAAATAATTTAACCAAAAGCAATAATAACTCTGATGCAAATACTTTTGCTTCCAGGTGTGTCTCAATCTAACTCTGTGGTCAATGGACCTCTGGGAACCATTCACAGAGTGGGAAACCTGCAACGAATCCAGCTAAACGGGAGTGACACAGGCCTGTGGCAGATTGAAATGACCACAACTCAGCCCTACACCGTAAAAGTGACTGGTGAGCCATGATTTTAATAATTAATAAATCAAGTAAAAAAAAAGTTTTTATCCACTTATAAATGTTGAGATTTTGGCCTTATATAAAAGTGTTCTTTTAATCTAATGTACAGAAACCATCCAAAATAGACCTAAAATAGTTTCTTTTGACACACATTATCATAATCCAGGCTGTAAAAACCCTTTACTCTAATATTTCTGGAGAAAAAAAAACTATTTTAAAACATTTGTGCTATAAATGCACACAAATCATTGTAGATTTAATGAGATAATGCAACTACATAAATACCAAACATTATAAAACCTGTAACACCAAAAATAAATTCTTAATGTACTCAATCATTTGGGGTAGTATGATCATAGCTATTAGTTTTGTTGTGTTTAGATCTTTTTATTATGGTATTATAAAGTATGGTATTACAATTTCAGTTTTATTACAAAAAATAAAGACTTAAAAAATAAACAAAGACAGAAAAGTGTTAGATTTCTTACCCTGTTCACCTGCAGTGTCTTGTCTTATGTATTGAAGTTATATGATTGACCTGAAGAAAACGGCCAATGTGGAAAATGTTTTACAGGTCAGAGTGCGATTACATTCATCTACGATTTTGTGGAGGAGTTCAAAGGACCCCATCCTGGATTTGCTGTCATCGACGGCCGGCCATCAGCAGGTTTGAACTGTTGTCATGTTTAACTTTGACTTTCATTTTCTTGAATGATTTGAACGGACGTGTACTGATCTGCTCTTGATTTAGGCTCACCAGCTAAGCTGCTGTTGACACTGACTGGAGAGAAGGGTCCAGAGGCTCTGGAGGTGCATCAGGTGGCTCTTGTGGAGGTTTCTGGGGAAAAGGTGTCCAATGGGACTGTAGACAAAATGGCCGATGGAGATTTGCTGGTTACTGTGAAAGAAGTGCCTGGGGGAGAGTTTGTGGTCCTGCTGAAAGGAAAAGACAAGACTTACTCCAGCCTGTTTCAGAGGCAGACCACCACACAGATGTCCCTGTCCAAAGTCACCATCAAGGTACTTTTGTGGCACTTAATTTTAAGGGGACCTATTATGTCACCTTTTTCAAGATGTAAAATAAGTCTCTGATGTCTCTAGAGTGTTTATGTGAAGTTTCAGCTCAAAATACGCCATGAATAATGTTTTGAAAGGGCTTGGATCCAAATGGTGCAGTTTTGGTGACTGTCACTTTAAATTCAATTAGGATTGTGCTCCTTTAAAAAAGAGGGCCGGGGTACAAATGCCTGTGTGTCAGTATAGAGAACAATATTTTCAAATAGTCAAACAACATTCACTCTTTTCACAAAACATAACGGTTTGTACAAACATTTAGACACAAATTCCTATATATACATCAATGATCACACGTATCCTGCTTCACATGTGGAAATTAAATAATTGTATAAATCCACGGTGGATATGTTAGATAGGGTCCGTTTACTAATAATTGTATAGATTTTTTCATATGTATATTCAGATAACAACATCCATGTAATAGAATTTACTCTTGAATTTTTTCTGATGTTAATCAATGTGGAAAGTTTAAATGAAAGTGGACCTTTAACTTCTTTTGTTAGAACAAATCTTGATTCCTGATTCTTTTTGTTTCCCCTCAGGCAGTGGCCGACAGCTCTATGCTTCCAGGAGAAGTATTTAAACTTAATTTTACAGTTACGACCAATGGAACTGGCGGTGCCTACACAATCCGTGCCAGGAACGACAAGAACATCCCCATGTCACATCCGTCAACGTAATGTCTCTACAAATCGCTCAGTAATGATTAGCTTAGCTTTTCTAAAAAAGACTGAAACCCTATGCCACAATTCTGCTTGTTTGTGATGGCAGGCTCAATGTTGCGAGCGGCGGCAGTGCTCAAGGGACCATTTCTCTCACTCCTCCTTCTGCAACGCTCTCAGGAACCGATGTCACGCTGACCATCGAGGCTGAAGGCCCTGGAGGAGCGGATTCAAACTATGCTGTCCTTCGGCTTTCAGTTCTCTCTAAGGTAAGCTCAGACATTTCTGTGCACCAGCATGTGTAAGGAAATACAAGAAATGAGGCAAGTGAATAAAGAGTCATTTCAGCCACAGGTTTATTACTGATATTGCAGTAGTACCATAGAGAAATCATATACAGTTGAAGTCAGAATTATTATCCCCCTGTATATTTTTGTATAAATGTTCATTACTAACCTTTCTATAAACATGATTTGATTGATTAAAGTCGATTATATAAAATAAATATATAATGCAACATATATGAACACATACAGCCCCTTACAGTCTCCGATATGTTATCAATTACAGAAAAAGCTACACACAGCATACATTTGGTCCTTATTTGGGTTCAAAAATGACACGCAACATGTAGACCACAGTCAGTGCAAACCTCCCATCTGTATCTTTACTCTTCACCAGCACATGTAACCTCTTAGTAGAAAGTAATTCCATCATTTTTAGTTCATAATAGTCCAAAAGGTGATAATAATAGTTAAACATGGCAGTTTGTTCGTGTTTTAGGTTGCTTAAAGAATCATTTGCTCCTTTTTTTTTCTGCGTTTTATCCATTTCTGAAAGGATCGGAGATCAGAAGCACTTCAATAATCACTTGCACGTTATTATCTTCAGCCCAAGAAATTCGTTATTTCAAATATAGACGCGCACATAAGCTCTCGAGGAAGTGAAACTGATTAAGCTTTAGACGGCCTTGTAAACAACTATGGGGCACAGGGTATATTCTGCTCTTCTTCTTGGCTTTGTGGCTGTTCATCAAGAAGACGACAAGGTTTGTTTGAGCTCGGGTCGACCATGGCTTGTTATTAGATGTATTTATTATTACATTGGAATGTCCCGGCTGTGTATTTACAAATAGAGCTTCCTTTGTTTTAATTTTTCTGGTTGTACACGAGTGTAAACTCATATTGTTTAGCTGCGCATCTTGCTCCACCTTTTGGTACCCTCTTGTTGTGCTAGGTACCCTTTCGAAAGGGTACCCAAAAAGTGGTACGGTACGATTCGGTTTGCTTTTTGGTACTTTTTAACAGAGAAAACGGCCAAAAAAGCATACCTAATCGTACCGTACCATAATTAGGCAAATCATTGTATAACGATGGTTTCTTCTGCAGACAATTCTAAAAAATACAGTTTAAGAGGGCTTATAATATTGACCTTAAATGTAAAAAAAAATAAATAAACTGCTTTTATTCTAGCCGAAATAAAACAAAATGAACTTTCTCCAGAAGAAAAAATATTATCAGACATACAGTGAAAATTTCCTTACTCTGTTAAACATCATTTTGGTAAAAAAAAATAGAAAAAAAACTATAATTTTGACTTCAACTATAAAATTATAGCTTATGTTTGATTATATATATGCACATATTTGTAATTCTGATTCTGATTTCTAATTCAGATCAGTGAAAAATATATGTAAATGGACATTTTTTTTTTTTGCTATATTTTGAAATACATGTTGTATTCATATGTATACAAGCATGAACTTATGTGAACCATAAATCCATAAGAGTACATTTTGGGAGATTGAGGTTTATATCATCTGAAAGCTGAATAAATAAGGACAATGTTTGGCTGAGATACAACTATTTAAAAAACTGGAATCTGATGATTAAAAAATACAAATATTGAGAAAATCACCTTTATAGTTGTCAAAATTAATTATTTAGAAATGGATATTTCTGACAAAAAAAACTTCAGAATAGCAAAAACAACTCTTTTTTTTATTTAATTTTTTTTATTAAATTTTTTTTGCGGGGGGTGTTTTATTTGCAAGTTTGGATTGTTTTTTTTTTTTGTTTTGAACGTTGTTTAACTTTCATTCATTCATTCATTCATTTACATAATGTGCATGCAACCTTATCTTGCTGTTCAAACCCACTCTTTATTCCCCATCCAGGTGACTGACTTGACGCCTCCAAAATGCTCAATTGTGGACGTCCAGGGTGTTTGCTACGCCTCTGCTTGCAGCTCGTCAAACTGGGAACTGTCTGTCAACATCACAGACGGCAACGGCACAGGCATCCAGAGCATTTCCATCCAGCAGGGCAGTGGAAACTTCACCCAGAAGGTAGCGGAGGATGTAGTGATGGGTCGTTACGAGGCCTCTTGTTGCTCAACTTCTGTGACTTTGTCCGCTGTCGACAAGGTAGGGAATGTCGGCAGATGCAGTTACAACATGAAGTCTGGCACAGGGCCTCGTCTTTTCACCATGTCCATTCCTTTATGGGCATCTCTGCTGTTGTACGTGGTTCTGCGCGATGTGTCTCTGTAATGATCAGGAGTTCATAGCAAATACACAATCCTCCAATTCATCTTTATTTTTAAAAATATGAAGTATTTTCAGGTATGGAGGACAACCAGTGAAGAATCATGCAGCTTATTTACAACCTACAAACACGTCCAAATAGATGAAAGATTTATGAGTAAATAAATATATGTATGTATCAGGATTTATGCATATTTATGGTGTCTTGAGAAAGCCGACATACTGTTATACTACATTAACTTTTTCTTCTTTTTGTTATAATTTTTATATGCATCTCCTCCTAGACAGTCCATGCTACAAACACCAAACTTACTCCAGATCTCCACACTGGTCTGACTCGGGTTGCTATATCTTTAGGAACTGATCTAACTTACGGTTTTCCGAAAACTGACCTGGAAAATTCTGAAAAGTCTAATTGACTTAACATTGGACCAAACTTTGTGACCTCATAACTTTGGCCCAGACTGTCATACAGATTTAAGGTTGAGCTCATTTAACTCAGACTACCAATCTGCCAATCACTGATGACCTGTAAACTTACTAGTCACACCCTAGCAACCACTTATAGCACCCTAGAAACTGTACCATAGACTTCCATTGTAAAAACTGCCATTTACTTTACATTGGACATACTAATGAAATACCAATTCACACTAAAAACATATCAATCCATGCTAGAAACATACTAACGACATACCAATCCATACCAGAAACATACTAATCCATACTAAAAACATACCAATCTATAGAAACATACTAATCCATACTAGAAACAAATAAATTCATACTAGAAACATACTAACGACATACCAATACATACTAGAATCATACTTATTCATATTAGAAACAAATCAATCCATATCTAGAAACATACTAATCCAAACTAAAAACATACCTATCTATAGAAACATACTAATCCATACTAGAAACAAATCAATTCATACTAGAAACATACTAACGACATACCAAAAACACACTAGAAACATACTAATACACACTAGAAACATACTAATTCATACTAGAAACATACTAATTCATACTAGAAACATACCTGCGACATACCAAAACACACTAGAAACATACTAATCCATACTAGAAACAAATCAATTCATACTAGAAACATACTAACGACATACCAAAAACATACTAGAAACATACTAATTCATACTAGAAGCATACTAACGACATACCAATACACACTAGAAACATACTAATCCATAATAGAAACATACTAACGACATACCAATACATATTAGAAACATACTAATTCATATTAGAAACAAATCAATCCATACTAGAAACATACTAATCCAAACTAAAAACATACCTATCTATAGAAACATACTAATCCATACTAGAAACAAATCAATTCATACTAGAAATATACTAACGACATACCAAAAACACACTAGAAACATACTAATCCATACTGAAAACATACTATCGACATACCAATATACACTAGAAACATACTAATTCATACTAGAAGCATACTAACGACATACCAATACACACTAGAAACATACTAATCCATACTAGAAACATACTAATCCAAACTAAAAACATACCTATCTATAGAAACATACTAATCCATACTAGAAACAAATCAATTCATACTAGAAATATACTAACGACATACCAAAAACACACTAGAAACATACTAATCCATACTGAAAACATACTATCGACATACCAATATACACTAGAAACATACTAATTCATACTAGAAGCATACTAACGACATACCAATACACACTAGAAACATACTAATCCATACTAGAAACATACTAACGACATACCAATACATATTAGAAACATACTAATCCATACTAGAAACATGCTAACATTTATGTACTTTCCTATCTATGCTGTTTCAAACTTCTTAAAAACTACTTCAGTTATTTAAACTTTTAAACTGCCTCAAACTTTCAGACTAGACTTTCTCAAGCCATCATAAAGTTTGTCTACGAACTTTACTTTTCTAGTTTTAAATTTGTTTCTATAAAGAGCTATTTGACTGACTCTGTTTTAATCTAGTATTTATATGATAAGAATGCAGTGTTTTCTTACTTTGGTCCAAATATAGGTGTAATTAGTATAGTTCATGCACTAATGTTACAAAGACACACGCATTTTAAATATCAATACATTTTACATATATTTGCATATGAAATATATACAAACATGACTATTAAAGGGATACTTCACCCAAAAATGAACATTTACCACTATTTACTCACCCTTTCCATACATGAGTTTCTTTCTTCTGTTGAATACTAAATAAGATACTTTGAAGAATGCTGAATTAATGAAACCACTGACTTCCATAGTAGGAAAAACAAATACTATGGAAGTCAGTAGTTAAAGGACATTTTTCAAGATATCTTCCTTTGTGTTTAACAGAAGAAAGAATCACATAAAGGTTTGAAACGAGTGAAGTGTGAGTAAATGATGACAGAACTTTCAGTTTTGGGTGAACTATACCTTTAAATATACATTGACAGAAATGGTATACTATGGTTGACATCAGCGTTCAGCTTTCCATATGTAACCTTAAGTACTATGACACTTGGAATGTGTGATTATAAAAGAATAATTATGCATCATAAAGAAGTTGTCATATGTTAATCATTTTAGGGTTACGTGTTTGGATTGAGTGATATGGTGGGCGTTGCAACATGTCCATGTAATCTACAAGCAGCTATCTAACCGTTAAAATATAAGCTGCTTGACATAAAGCACTTAACATAAACTGGAATTTGTACTCGTATATGGCTTTCGAGTCTTTTTTTGTGTTGGTTACTTCATTCAGTGAAGTTCAATATTGTAGACTGAATCTTTTTTTTTTCACAGTTCTTCACAGCTTAATTCAATTTGACTCCTGTTTAGATATTTGAAGATCTCACCTGCTGTTTTGTTGTGTAATTTATTTGTTTTCTGAGCCACATTATAGTCTACAACAGTGGTTCTCAAACTGTGGTATATATATTTAAAAATTTATTTAAAAAATGATTTATATATGAATTTGATGACATATAGCCTATGTTTCCAGGTGTTGATAAATAGGCTCCTATGTTAATACTTTACAGGAGTACAGGAGTTTTTTTTTACTTTTTTAAGAACAGTAGCGTATCATGTTTAACTTTTAAAAGCACATTTTAATATAAATGTTGACGTTTTGAGTCAGTAGTTATGCTACTGTATTTCAATACTGGTCATTATGGTGGTACTTGGAAAGAAAATTTTTTTTTCTGAGATGGTAAAAAGTTGAGATCCACTGGTATATAATGTAGTTTTACACTGCCACCTAGTGGTCTTGACTGCATCATACTACATTAGTAACACTTGAATAAACATATTTCAGAAACTGTGTAGCACAAACAGCTTTTTATTAGATCATCATGTTTTCTGGACACACATTTGTTTTACAATTTCCCAGTAATGACAAAATAATAATAAACAATGGAAATATTCATATTCACTCCATTATGTTACAACATGCACTAAAAAAAGCACTCAAATTCACTCAATTAAAGGGATTATACCCTTAAGTAATATATACATATATAGCAGGACACTAAAAAGGTCTGTAAAACTGAAGTATAACTTTAAAATGAATAGAAAAATAAGAAAAGAATCACAATTATTTCACATTCTTAAAAAAGTTTAGCAATTACAGCACTGTTAAAAAAGCATGCAATTTGATTGTTTTTAAAATTACATCTTTATCAATTATTTTACAATCAAACCTAATGCTGTTGTATTAGGGCTGGGTGATAAAATTGGTATCGATAATTATTGACCGAACATCATTGTCAATATTGATAAGAAAAAATATATTAAAAATTCAGTTTGTAGTTTCAGTATGAAGCGCCATAGTTTTATAATAATGTGGCTACTTGCACGACGCGCTTATGGGAGCGACGTGCACTGACATGCTCATTTTCCAGCTGCACATGATTAAAAAACATCTGAACGAATGATCCGGGTGCACTAAAAAAAATCCTAATATTCCTAAATGGATTGTTACAAACAAAATATTCAATAATTATCTATATTAAATGATATGAAACATGATATCATTATAGTTTGTTTGCATTATCACCCAGCCCTATATTATATTTTCCATTACAACTCATTTCTATTGAGCGCTATGGTTCAGTAGATTACAGTATGATTCAGTGCGGGTCACCCAGAGTTTTCATTTCGACATCATTCTCACTTGACGAAAGCTGTATAGTCCATTCACATATATCTTTCGCACACTGAATTAATTATTCAAATGTAGAAGTATTGTAAAAGCACACAAAAAATGAGAAGAAGCGGTGCGTCTCACGCTTTCCAAACAATTTGACACAACATGTTTGTAACAAGATGACAAAATTTGAGCCTGGGTCAGTGTTAATTTTGTCAATGAAAATGGCTTGACATAAACAGAAACTTTTCAGGTCTGCTGCTCCAGTAACGTGACTGAATGTGCATGTTTTGGTCCACTCATCTAATGAATGAACAGCACATGTTTTTGCATGTCCAAAAACATGCAACTTAATTTAATTGACTAATTTAAATCGGCACCATAGCCATGCACCTAGTAAATAGTTATCTCTTAAGAGCAATCACTATCTGTTCATTAGTTACTACAGCAGGGGAGTTCTCAAGATCTACCTGAGCTCAAACTCCCCTCTTGACTTGCAAATCGAAGGGAACCCCGGGCTCGAGGATCTTATGAGCTCAGGGCTCTCTTCCAGGACAGCATGCCAAACACGCATTATCAGCTAAGTAACTCTTGAATAGACGAGTGGATCAGAGCATGCTCATTCATGGTTTTCAATCGTGTTTCTAGTGGAGACGACCTGTCAAATTTCTGTTTGTGTCAAGCTATAGGCAACACCCTTATTTTCATTCATGAAATGAACACTTGCTTGGGTCAACCATGGTTCACTGCTGTGCACAGTCATTGTTTGATTATGGTGCGGGGTTTCGGCTGTAGATTTAAAATGGCGCTTGCTTATGTTTTCATTCCTCTGACTTGCTGCAAGCACAAGTGATGATTCTCTGTTAACCAATAGCATTAAGTAGTGGTTTAGGTTCACCCTTAAGCCGCCTTTCCACTGCACACGACAAACGACAAGCGACAGACAGGAAGTTGTTCATTTCCAATGTAGAGCAGTCCGGGAGCTGTGTTGAGTTCCGATCATCTCCGTAAGCGGAAAATTCGGATCCGAATTGAGCTGCGGATCCGTTGAAATATTTGAACTCCTGCAACTAGATTGCATGCGACCTGCCGACCGGATATGATGAATTCCAGTGTTGTCCAAGCAGGTTCGTGCGCGCGAGATGAGAAATAGGAGTTTATTTGGTTATTTTTTGAATTATAAAAAGTCTATATTAAAGAAAAACATTTCTGTTCATAAATGTAAGTAAGAAAGTAATAAAAAAATATATTTTAAATGTTGTTTCCACATTCCCTCCAATATTTTAGAGGTCTATGAGTTTCTAGTATTCAGTCATCCATTAAACTATGAAAACGCACAGAGAATAAAGGCTATTGCTTTAGCAGTTCTTTATTTCGGACACCGTGAGAATCAGGCTTCGCCCCTGTGGTGCACGACAACACTGAAAATACTGTGCGGCTGCCACAAGGGGGCATATTCTGACAGTCGTGTCCAAATGTCGTGTGCAGTGGAAAGGCGGCTTTAGTACTGTACTATTTTGCTAAAGTGTCTAAAACAGTTGTATGGTATGATACATTATTTTGGTACATCTGACAGTGGAAACGGAAATAAATGCATACCGCACTGTACTGTACCTAACCACACTGCTCAATAAAAACTAGGCATGATTGCCTTGTTAAATAGTACAAATCCTTTCCTATTTTTCATGTACCATGTTGTGTGTGAAGATGCTTCTTTAGATGAGCCGACTGAGTGAAACGTTTCCCACATTCCTTGCACTCAAACGGCCTTTCCCCTGTGTGGATGAGCTTATGCCTTTTAAAGTTACCTAGATCCACAAATCCCTTCTCACAGTGCGGGCAAGTGTAACGTTTCTCTCCTCTGTGCCCTTGCATATGCATATTCAAAGCTACTCTATGTTTAAACCTCTTCCCACAAAGAGTGCAAGAGAAGGGCTTCTCTCCAGTGTGCATACGCATATGTGTGGAACGGTCCGCCTTGGCCAAAAACCTCTTTCCACACACTTTACAAGGAAACGGCCTTTCCCCAGAGTGAATAAGCTGGTGTTTGGTAAGGGTAAAGTGGTACACAAAACTTTTCCCGCACTCTTCACACTGATAACGCTTCTCTTCGGCATGGACCTTCATGTGCCGGTTGAGACCTCGGACACTAGGGAAGGCCTTTCCACATTGGGAACAGGTATAAGGTCTCTCTCCTGTATGAAGCCTCATGTGATTCTCCAAGGCAGATGCATTGCTAAGGATGCGTCCACAATCGGGACACTCTGTATTTCTCTGCAGGGTTTTGCCCAAAAGTTTGGGTAAGGTTTGACATCCATTGTTTGAGCCAGAAAGTTGTGATTCCCTAGTCAAGTCATTCTGCAACTGATCCTTAATCATACCTTCCTTAACCGAGGGATCTACTTGTCTGGAGTTGAAACAAAGCTTTCTCTGTTTTCTGAGTCTAGACTGGAGTGTGGGAGTGTCGTCGTCTGAAAGGTCTTCATTGTTTCTATCTGTTGTTTCTGCTCTGCAGTGTGGGGAAAATGGTAGGTTCTCAACCAAAGGCACTGAGGTCTGTAAGGACCGAGCAGGTACTCTGCCTAAAACAACATTAGCTGAAGCAGCAGCAGCTTGTTGTTCTTTCGGTGTTAGCAAAGGCGCAAGTTGCCCAGATGATGATTGAAAATGATGTGGAGGCGCCTGATCAGGAGCATCTTGTGGCGTTATCATGATTGGTGGCTGCAAGTGCAAACAATCAAGAGATTCAAGCAAATCTGGCGAATTATCAGGCAGAGGACAAAATTGGCTTGAGGAGGAGGAGAACTGATCAGATTGTGGAGGATACTGAGATTGGGTAAGTGAAGGTTGAGGTGGGTTTAAGGAAGGAGATGCTGGAATTGTGTTTACTGGAAGGTGAGAAGATGAAAATGAAACCAGCATTGGTAGATACGAAGTTGGCTTTGCCGGAGTTGGAACAACTGGCTGCACTGCAGGGAAACTAAATGAAGGATTTGAATGTGCCCCAGAATGTGCTGGGATTACCTGAGGAGATGCAAATGCATGCGGTCGAGGGGGAACAAGATTGGTTCCTCTCCGATCATGGACTTGTGTGGGTTTACTTGATGTTGCAGGAACCAAGCCTGATGGCATGGCAGTGTGTACTACTGGAGTCATCTCTTGGGCTTGATTTTTAATGGCTTGTGGTTGAATGAATGGTGGTTGTGTAAGTTTAGCTGAACATTGTGCAAATGTTTGAGTGGCCTGGTTTATGGATGTAATGCTTGATGCAGATTTCTCTGTGTGTGTAAACAATGCCCTTTGTTTGTTGGAAGTAGGCTCTGCTACTACGACCTGACTAGAAGGAACTGCAGAAAGGATGGTATTTTGAAGTGGATGACACATATCTGATTCCTCTTTCTGCGGGACTACTGTTTGGTTTGATGCGTGAGGATTTGGGCTTGGTCGACGGTGAACTAATGAAGTTGATTGCTTAGCTTGAGGTATTGATGGAGCACCTGACAACTGAATCATTGGTACAGATAATTTTGCACAGGCAGTACGAGCAGGGATTGAACTGTTTGGTACTGAAGTAGTGGATGTCTGTGCTGGTACGCTGGCATCTTGCTTTTTGTTTTGGGAAGACAAGCCTTCACGGTTTTCCTTTGTACTTAGAGATGTACCTTGGATGGGTTGTGTAGACTGGTTGGGTTTATGACCACAGGAAGTCACGCTGAGATTAGAGGACAACGGAGTTACTGGTGGCGGTGACTTTCCTCTGGGGTTGCTTTGGTGTCTTGTTATAGTTTGAACTGCTGGTGGGATCACAACTGCAAATACAAAAGATGAAGATGAGTACAGCATAAGGAACATAACATGTTAAAGGTGTGAAGCGCACTTTGGTTATTTTGACTGCCTGAGTACTTAGTAACATTACTCCAGGGGTGTCCAACTCAGTCCTGGAGGGCCACTGTCCTACAGAGTTTAACTGCAATTTGCTTTAATACACCTGTCTTGAGGTTTCTACTACGCCTAGTAAAGCTGTGGTCACACTGCACTTTTCGCCCCATAGACATACATTCATTCACACGCAAATGCTACAGACTGGAAACACAAACTCATCAGACAAGTTTCACAGTTCGCTGCATTGCAAAGTTCAAGCGAATGTGACGGCATGAGACTAATCAAAGATCAAAACATGACCTCTCTGGACAGAAATCTGAACCAATCGCTTGCTTTTTTTAATGCCTAACCATCTTGTTTATTCCCGCCTCTTTTTGCAGTGCCGTATGACAGAATTTTGCATGCTTAAACTCTTGTTTGACCACGGCATGAGACCTTGGCTTTTTCTTACTTCCAAGAACACTGAGAATGGACTCGTTCTTGTGGAGACCGTTCTTTCCAAGTTACATCGGAGGAACGAACTCAAGAGACAGTGAGAACAGAGAACGCATCTTGTGAGAAATGAGATGCTGCGTTCTTTCCGGTGGTCACATGACCTTTACACATTTTTAACGGAAAAGTATCAAACATTACATCATTCATTCCCCCCTCCCTTTTCACAAATATACATTGCACAATACAAATAAAGCTAATTTGTATACGAATTTCAGCAAATAAACAGTCTTAATGTATTTATGCCTTCATAAAGATTTTCATGGTAATGTTTACTTTCACAGTCTCATTTAGGGAAACTCCTAATATAAATAGGTTATATCTTTGAACTTTAATGATAAGTCTATATAAAATGCTGCGATTCCAACCTCCTTTATTCGACCGCAATGACTAATGGTACTTTGCTCTCAAGTCTGCATCTATGCATCCTCGATATCAAGAATACATCCGGGAACTTTCACGCGTCCGTCCGTTCTCCGTAAATTTTGGAACTGAACTTTGGCAGTTGATGATGACGTTACACATGAACACGAGGACGCAAGGTCGCAGAAGAATGCATTTTAGAAACAGCCCTTGATTAGCTGGTTCAGGTGTGTTTAATTAAAGTAGGAGCTAAAATATGTAGGACAGTGGCTTCCGGGGCAGGAATGGACATGAGTTTAATAATTGAGTCCTTGGGATGGGTTCAATGTTTTTTATGTTGAACTATGTGGGTCTAGGGACCAAGTGTATGCCAACTTTTTTTAGCTATTGAGAAGGTTTGGTTCTTACGTGGAAAAATCACATAACGATCAACTATCTGAGGTCCATCTCAAAGGCAAAACCTCCATGTGGGTTTAGTTACAACCCTGCTCCAACAAACAATATCTGTGTCTTTCAAATAGTCCTAAGGAGCTTGATTAGCTAAACTCTTCAGGGCTGTGGCCTTTGGGTTTGGGGGTATATTTAGGTGACAATGCTTTACTAAAAACTGAAAAGCTTTTTCCTTTGCATTTTTGAAAACTTTTGTAAAAAAAAAAACAAAATATATTACAAAACTGCCTAAGAATGCTGTATTTTTCATGCCAGATCAGTAGTTGTAATAGCAGTATAATAAAAAAGGCACTTTAAAATCCAACTTCCCGAAACATTGTTCTCATGAAAATAAAATGCTAATAAAATGTATGCCATGTAAACAATGTCCTTTCTTACAGATGTTTTATTGCATTCTATTAGTTGCTGCTAAATAAGTAAATGCATATTAAATGTATATTATACCAGCAAGTACCAGGTCTGTATGGGTAAATTATATTTCTGCCTTAATAATCATTTTATTTTGAAAATATGACAGTATTGTACATGACATGATAGAATGATTTATTTGTGTATTGGAAGATTTGTGAATGATTCTTTTACCCCTTTCCATGGTGTCCTTATTTGGCTCTTTGCGCACCAGTATCGGTTCAGCACCCTCTTGCTTCAGTAGAAAGTATCCTGGTGCATATTCATCACATTCAGACTCCTGAGGCTGAAGAAACAGAACATAACAAAACAAGACAATCATTATAAGTAGGAATGTGTCGGCACCAATAGCCTAGTGGTTAAGTGCGGCGACATATAGCACCATGATGTTCACGGCGACCCGAATTCAATTCCTGGCTTGTGGTCCTTTGCCGACCCTTCCCCTATCTCTGCTCCCAACTATTTCCTGTCAATTCTCTGCACTATTCTATCCTTTAAAGATTAAAACCCCTAAAAAATAAATAAAGTGTGACCAAAGCATTAATTATAAAAAAAACTAGGAATGCACGGATATGAACTTTAGAGGGGATAACTTTGTTTCGAAGCCAAAAAGCAATATGTGTGAAGAAAATTCATTTCTGAGCCTGCTTACACAATCAAAACATAAGGAAATGCAGTAGACACCTGATAACATGTTAAACCCTTTACTGCAGAAAACCTTAAAACTGCAAAGAAATGTCTAGATCTTTATTTTCCCCAAATCATTTACAAATTGCCAATTTTAACTCGCAGTGTTAAGCAATCCACACTTCAAATGTTTTTCATAAACAAAAAAACATAAAAATTTAATTTGTGTTTTATTTATCAGTGATTTATTTGTGTTTGTAAATCAGAAGATTGTGCATCACTAAATAAAATAACAAATTTGAACGTAACATTTAAATGTCCACTGTCTCCTGATATGACATAAAATAAAAATTATCCTGCTGGAAGTAGCCATCAGAAGATGGGTACACTGTGGTTATAAATGGATGGACATGGTCAGCAACAATACTCAGGTAGGCTGTGGCGTTGACACAATCCTCGATTGGTACAAAGTGTGCCAAGAAAATATCCCCCACACCATTACATCACCACCACCAGCCTGAACTGTTGATACAAGGCAGGATGAATCCATGCTTTCATGTTGTTGATGGCAAATTATGACCCGACCATCCGAATGTCGCAGCAGAAATCGAGACTCCAATCTTCTATTGTTTAATCTTGAGTTACTATTGCCTTTCTATCAGCTCAAACCAGTCTGGCCATTCTCCTCTGACCTAAGGGATTTGAGCCCACAGAACTGCCACTCACTGGATATTTTCTCTTTTTCAGACCATTCTCTGTAAACCCTAGAGATGGTTATGTATGATAATCTCAGTAGATCAGCAGTTTCTGAAATACTCAGACCAGCCCGTCTGGCACCAACAACCATGCCACGTTCAAAGTCACTTAAATCACCTTTCTCCCCTATTCTGATGCTCGGTTTGAACTGCAGCAGGTCGTTTTGACCATGTATACATGCCTAAGTGCATTGAGTTGCTGCCTTGTGATTGGCTGATTAGAAATTTGCGTTAATGAGCAGTTGGAAAGGTGTACCTAATAAAATGGCCGGTGAGTGTATATGTTATATAGAAGTTATTTAAGATATATTTAACTTTAAAAAACAACTGTATTTTATCAGCAATAAAAAACTTAATTAGTTTATTTATGTTATATGGTCACACTAAAATAAACAGGTAATTGATATTTTTCTGAGCTAATAAAAAAAAAAACTATGCCAAGGTGCAAACATTTAGACACCACAAACCCTTAGCGGAAATTCAGAATCTTACTGGCTTACATGATCTCAGTCTGACTCTATCTGACCTCATGAATGTCATGCAAAAGCTGAGAAGAGGAAGAAAGACAAATAGAAGAACCGGAATGAATAAAGAGATCTCATCTGTTGCATGATCTGTCATTCCTTACCTCTTGTTTGATGAGAAGCAAAGCCAGCTGCCTGTTTCCATCCTCACTCGCACACAGATCTGTGAGTTTATCGCTCGTGATGTCTCCAACATGAAGACGCTGTCCAATAAACTGACGAGGACTGCATGCCCGCTCAGCCAAAAGGGCATTTTCTGACAAATGTAAATTAAGAAAATTTATATCGACAATCTGCACAATTTAATGTAACTACAAAATGGTGCATACATTTAGATTTTAAAACACCAGGAATGACTCAAAACCTTTGCTTAAATTCTGAATCTTATTGGCTTATATTATATATTATCATTAATATATTAGATATCATCAACCAAAAGGGAATTTTAGTATAAATGTAAATTAAGATAATGTATCTTTGGCATAGAACGATAAGCGTTTTCAAGGTATACCGCGGTTTGAAAAAAGTAAAGGTTTTAAAACCGTCAAAATTTTCTGCAATACCATTTTTTTTAGGACAACAGTATCTTCAGCAGAAAAGATATACAAAAATGCCACTTTAAGTCATTAAAAAACTTTTTTTTTTAAAACAAATAAAGACAACAGATGTCTATAATTCATTTAGCCTGACATGTTTACTTTTTCAAAATATTTTGGAGAAAAAAAAAGGAGAAAAAAGTTGTTGTTTTTTACCCAGACATTTAAAAAGAATATATTTTAGAGCAGTAATCAATCACAATATTGTGATACAGTGAAACCGTGATATTTTTATCTAAGGTTATCATACCGTCAGAATCTTATCCTGGCCCATGCCTAGTATATCTACAATCTATAGTCAACTGTAACTACAAAATGGTGCATACATTTAGACATTAATACACGACGAATAACTGAAACCCTTAGTGGTAATTCCAGATCTAATTGGCTTATTTTATATATTATCATTCATATATACATATCATCAACCGAAAGGGAATTTTCTGACAAATGTAAATTAAGAAAATGTTTATCTACAATCGTTACAATTTACTGGAACTACACTATCAACTATCTATTCACAAGATTAACTATCTATTCGCTTTAGTCTTCAAGGTGTTTTCAGATTACATTTACATTTAGCAGACACTTTTGTCCAAAGCAACTTACATATGTAAATTGCACAAAAAATGACCCTCATTAATAATTACTATAATAATTTATGGCTGTTAAATACTATAGTGTTTTTTTTTTTAACTATACTATTGTAACGTGTACTATACTATACATATTATAGCATGCGCTAGTGTAAAGTAACAAATTACATTTATTCTAGGGCTGGGCCAATAAACGATATAATATTGAATCGTTATAAATTTTGTCAATAACAATGATAAGCCCTGGACTTTTTTTACTCTATAAAACGGTGTTGATATTATAGTTTAACCAAATTTTTGGCCACCGAAAATGTATCAGTTGAAAGTATGTTACGCCATTCAATGGACCCTCTAATTTTTTGGGGTACTCTTTTAAATCTGGAAGCCCTAACATTTTATAGCAAAATATATACCGTTGTCATTCAATATGGAAAATAAATATCGAGATTGCATTTTTGCCATCTAGCCTAGCCCTAATTCATTCATTCATTTTCCTTCGGTTTAGTCTGATTGATCAGAGGTCACCACTGTGGAATGAACCACCAACTATTCCATCATATGTTTTGCGCAGCAGATACCCTTCCAGCCACAACCCAGTATTGGGAAACCCCTGTAAACTCTCACATTTAAGTACACAGTCATACACTACGGACAAGTTTGGTTACCCAATTCACCTATATTGCATATCTTTGGACTGTGGGGGAAACTGGAGCACCCGGAGGAAACCCACACAAACACGGGAAGAACATTTACTGAGTAATTTTAAAAATGTGTACTTTTACTTTCACTTGAGTACATTTTTAGTGCTGTATCTGTACTTTTACTCCAACGTTTCACTATTTAACCTCAAGACATGTACAGTGCGGAAGCATTAAAGGTGTCCAAGGAGACACGAAATCATTACAAGCAATGACTGAGAGACTGTTGATGATGATGATGATGAGAAAATGAAGATGTCGACTGTAGGAGGACTGAAATCACCAAATGGCCTTAAACAATCACTAAATTCCCAAAAGAATGTACACAAATAATATGTAAATGGATCACAATTTCACATCGTAATACTCACTACTCCTTTAAAAGGGCTACTTCTTACTCATACTTTGAGTAATATTTACAACAGATACTTTTACTCTACTTGCACTACATTTTGGGGCAAGTACTGGTACTTTTAGCAATAATAGTATTTACAACACTTAATGAATGCTGCTGTATTAACTATAGAAAACTTTTCACTGCAATAAACACTGTAGTATACTTTAGTTTTTACTACAGTAATCTATGATGTATTGTAGTATAATATACCGTCTAGTTGCAGAAAACTTACAGTAGTACAGTATTAGGTTTTTCCTATAACTATATAGGCAGGCATTATACATTGACAATCGGGGTCCTAAATTTTGGCTTCCTTTAGGACAAACTATGCAAACAATAAATCTAATTTGACGTAACCTCTAGACAATATGTTGAAACAAGCACCTATTTTATAAGAAAACGTGGTTTTCTCCAGGTCTTGTAAACTCTTACGGTGTCTATCGGTGCCAGTGGTGGAAAGAGTACTCAAAAGTAATACTCAAGTAAAAGTACCATTACTTGCCCAAAAATGTTGTGCAAGTAGAGTAAAAGTATCTGTTGTAAATATTACTAAAAATACGAGTAAAAAGTAGCCATTTAAAAGTACTCAAGTGTGGTGTACAGGGAGGTGTAAACGTAACATTCTGTAGTGCATTTAGTGATCTTCCTATTTTGCTTAGTTCCTTCCAAATTTCCTTCCATTGTTTGTTCGTTCTGTCCTTCTTTCATTCATTCATTTGTTTGTTTGTTTGTTCTTTCCTTTATACATTTGTTCCTTCCTGCGTTCCTCCCTTCATTTGTTCTTATTTTTGCTCCCTCCTTCATTGGGTCCTTTGTTCATACATTCATTCATTCCTTCCTTAGTTTGTTCAGTCCCTCTTTGAATCCTTGCTTCATTCATTTGGTCTTTTCTTCCTTCGTTCGGTCCTACCTTCCATTCCTTGTTCGGTTTTTCCTTCATTCAGCCCTTTATTCCGTTTTTCACTCATTCTATTTAGTGATTGTTTAAGGCCGTTTGGTGATTTCAGTCATCATACAGTCGGCATCCTTCATTTTCTCATCAGTGACATGAGACATATAAAATGTCTCTGGGTCAATGCGTATAAAGATTATGCACATCTTCTTGGACATTTTTAATGCTTCCAAAAGGTTTGTTGCAATTATAAAGCAACCATGTCTTGAGCTAGTTTAGTATGATGCGATTTGATTGGACAGTACCAATAAATCTCAAGGGAGCTCAAGGGAAAGCAAAAGTACAAATCTTTAAAAGGATTAAGCGAATTACAATTCCTGAGAAAAACTATTCAATTACAGTAATTTGAGTATTTGTAATTTGTTACTTTACATCACTGATCGGTGCTCTAAATCTGCCAGTTTCAGACTGTTTAAAGACTTTTTTCTCACATGGACTGATTGGCGCGATAATGCATTCACAGTGGTATGAACCGTTATAGGGGTGGTCAAGTGGATGTCTATTATTTGAATTAGAAACATTATTGTTAAAATTGCAGATCTCACTTTTAAAGGGCCCTCCACACATCTTATTTAGATGTCCTTTAGGGTGATCAAGTCTTAATTAGGAGGGTCAATCCCCCCCCAAATTCGCACCCTGATTATAGTTGTATTTAGGCATGGATGATAAGCGGTTTCGAGGTTTACCACCTTAAAAAAGTCTAGGTTTTAATACCACTAAAATGTTCTGTTCTAAAAAATTATTTTAATGTGCTGAAACTTACCAAGAGAGCAGAGGTCAATGATTTATTTTAATCGTTTAGCTGTTTACTGCTCCAAAATATTATAAATGTTTTTTTTTTAAATATAATAAATTGTGTTAAAAATGTTTAAGACATTTAAAAAGAACTTATATTAGAACAGTAACGTTAAACACAATACCGTTATATTGTTATACAGGGTTATCATACCGTCTGAATAAGAAATAAACTCCAGGTAACGTTAACGTTACTTTACTATAGTATAGTTCAAAAAACACTATTTACTTTAAACTAGCCCTACTTTAGTATTAATTTCATGTGCCTGTATATTATAACATCCAGAAGACAAGAAGGCTTTTAACTTTAACGTTACGTGTCCAGCATCTTATCATGTCAGAGCCGTTAAAAGTGGTTATAATTTTCCAGGAAGTGTTTAACGCACGCCCAGGCACACAGAAGCACAATGCTAGAAGTTAAACCTACCACACTGCACCCCAACATCACGGTATTTTGAGACACTGCCAGTCCTCTGAATCCCAGTTTGAGGGAATCTTCTGGTGTCCTGACAGGATGAATGAGCTGTCTTCTTGTTGACATTCTCGACTCTCAGATGCACCAATTCCGCTTTCAGGCTCTGTAGAGTGCTCTGGTAAAGTTTGGTCGTTTCCCGGACGGCGGTCTGTAGTAACGTTTCCATGATGTGTGTGAACTGGGTCTGAAACCCGTCACAATCCTCCATGCTCGCATCCGGCATGGTCCGATTTGGGTTAATTTACTTTTGTGGAGAGGAGTCGTTGTGGTCCCTTTGACAGAGTCATCGACGATTACAATGATCCTCCCAGAGGAGGGCGCTGTACTTCCGTTATGAATGCTTCAACCAAGTTGTATTTATAGACCGCTGTAAAGATGGTTTGCGGTCTGCTTTTAATATATCGCTGTGAAGAATGAAGAAGTAAACACGACAGTATTATGCACTCAATAGATGTCTCATTTGGAATAATAAGCATGTTTTATTTAAATCCAAAACACTGTTTTTTGAAAGTTGGTTCTACATTAATATAAATTTGGTTAGTTTTTAAACCGAATGGCCTTCTTTTAAGTTTAAAATCCATACATTCCTAAAGACTATGCTGTAGTAATGGATGCTGTCCTCTCTGGTTTACAAATGCTTTGTAAAAACACGTTCCCCTTCTCCTTTGCTGTTCCTGGAATCTTCTTGATACTGCTCTTCTAATAAAATTAATAATCGACAAATTAGATCTCTTTTTTTAAAGGGATGTTGTCTCTAGACCTCATGTGATGACTTTCTGGAATAGCTATGCTAACTTGTTCTGGCCCAATATTAAAAAAATAACCTCATAAATACTTAATAGCAAATAAAGTAAAATAAATTTCTTTCAAACTTATTTATAAATCTTATTTCAGTAATTACTGAATTAGCAGTTTAATTGTGAAACTGCTACATGCTCAACTCAACTCAACTTATTTCTACAGCACTTTCAACAAACCTCAATGGGTACTAAAGTGCTGTACATAAAACAAATGCAAATATACACAAAACCAAATTACATAAACTCACGTCACATGATTAAAAGCTAAAGAAAATAAGTGTGTTTTCAGTGATCTTTGAAAAGATTCAAAAGTTTGAGCTGTTCTTAAAGAGAGTGGAAGATGCTGTACATTTTGTGGTCTACACAAACATATTATCATTTGTTTTGGAGATGCCCATATGTAGTTACTATTTGGTTGGATTTCTGCTCTTTTATTAGAATCAAATTTCAACTTTGTTTTAAAAATGTTTTATTTGGTTTATATTGAGCAGGTCATTACACAAAGAGTACTTTTTGCTCAATTTATTCCTTCTGTTGGCAAAATTGCGTTTACACAAAAGCAAGTACAGTGACTACAAGCCATTATTTATTATTTTGAAGTCAGAATTTAAGCTTTAAAACGATCTATAATTTGACAAATAAGAAAGCTGTTAAGTGTATTAATGTGCACAAACATTTACATGTTTTTATTTTTTATTTTTATTTTTTTTTGTCTTTTTCAAAAAAGAAACAAAAAAGACAAGATTATGCATGGTGAAAATGCATGATTTTTTTTTTGCAAAGGCGTTTAAGTTTGACTAATTAAAGAAAATGGGACTTATGCTTTTAAAAATGGCACTGTTCCTGAAATGGTTTGAATATTTTGTTTGAATAGCTTTATATTTTTTTGGTTTTTTGGTTTTTTTTGTATGAAGGGCCAAAAACCAAATATCACTGAGAGCCATGGGCTGAAGATAAATAATCAAAAGTACATCAATGGGTAATTTCCTAATTTATTTCATAACAGTCAAAAATATGTAGAAAACATTGCTTTGAATCTTGTTATAACTTTTTAACAATAATTTATTGCAATAAAATGTAAACAATCACATTTATAACACAGTGGAGATCAATGCTGAATATACCAGACAAGCAGAATCTGCCCTTGCCTTAGTTTGCTCACCAAAGTCTCTCCATTGTCCTCTATCCATCGGGTGCATTTTAAACTAAACAGCATTTAAATTTAACCATTTAACTTTAGTTAGCTTTTTTAAGCTTAACAATAAAACAAACAGTTAAAAGGTTAAATTAACTTTGAAATGACAATTCCTAAACAATCCCCATCATTCTCTCTCTCTTCTGGGATGGCGTGCCAAATGAAAGGTTACCATGGGCCAACATTGACCTACACTGTAAAACCCGAAAAGTTAGGGTAATTCAAACCATTTGAGGAACCCGATTGCAACAAACCATTTAAATACAAAAGCCAATCTTAATGAGTACTGTGAGCTTAATCCATTTGAGTAAACAAAGCAATCTGAGCCCAATAAAACCCAATAAATGAAGAGAGGTCAAACCAACTGAGTACTGTAAAACCCAATAAGTTAAGTCAACTCAACCCGTTTGAGGAAACCTTAACCTTAAAATGGTTTAAGTTACCTTAACATTTTGGGTTTTATCAGAGAAAGAAAGTGTTTTGAGTTAGATATAGGGTTTGAGCATACCTGGAATTGCTTAGGGCCTAAATCACCCCTGCCGAGGCCTTTAGGTGTACTTAAATAAAAATATAGATTTGCTCAGGATTGTTTGTAACATGTTTCATTAATCTTACAGCTGACCCACAAACTTGTAGATGTGAATTTGCTCACAGCTAACAGATGAAACAATAGCACCAGGAATTTGCATATCTACACAGACATACAATCAGCATAATTGAACATTGATGGGTTTAACTACAATTCAGGCATTGCCATCACAAAATATATTTGAATAAAAAAAAACTTACCTCAATCAGTCTCTAATATCTGCTGCATCTGCCACAGGTTTCTATTGTTTTCACTCTTGGGATAAAGATATGTGTGAAGTGGAGTGAATGGAGAGGGGAGCATTTGTGACATGAGTCAGTTGATTTGTAGTTCCTGTTGGAGAGATTAGAGGTGTTAACTGCTGTTCACAGTCTAAAAATGAAGAGGGTAGAAAGTATTAACAGTGCTTTTAATAATACATAGAATGAAAATAAAAGTTCATGTTGGAACCTTTTCAATAGACCCTTTTTCGCATGATGTCACACGGTGTCTGGTTTCTCTCCACACAGTGTATCGTTACTTCCACCTACACAGAACTCCCCATAAAGAACTCACCTAGTCAGCTGTATATTTACTACAGATATGGTTAGACTGTGACTGTTTTCTGTTGTCTACATTCAAGGTAAGACATCTGACATTTAAAAAAAATCTACAGATCATTCAGATTTCAGCTTGAACCAGAAAATGGGACTTTAAACAGAGTGTATTGCTTTGCGTGGCTGTCTTTACTGCAAATGAAGTTGGTTTGCATTTGTCAAATAAAGAGTTTAGATGTTTAAATGGGTGCTGAACATTGTTTTTATGTCAATTTATTTATTTACTTTAATATTTTTAATATTTTTTACACTTTCATATTATTTATATTCAGTACAGTTCTCTGACATTTTTTCTATTTAGATATTTTATTCATGAGCATAAAACACTTATGTCTATTTAATATTAAAATTAACTGTTTTGTGTGACTCTTAATAATCAAACAAATTCATTGTAAAAATGTACAATTGCAAAAAAAAAAACAACAACAACAACAACAAGACATTTTAATTCAGCATTATTAGATTTTGACATCCCATGTAACATTATTAATTAAAAGGTAGTGAAGATATCAAATTAAATCCACCCAGTAGGTGGCGACAGGACAGTGTCTTAATTCATTCAAACGGAGAAACACTAACTGATCAGTAAATAATAAATGAATAAACTAATTGCACTTATAGACATACTTAACAGGAAATAGGAGAAGATTTAATAAAGAATTTTACTCAAGTTGGAACATTTACATATAACAGATAATCTAAATTGATATTCACAGAAGCATCAAAGTAAAAATAAATCAATTATTGAGGAAGCTAACTTAATTATTAAGTAAAAATGTTGTACTTTCCTCAATAAACAATAGCTTATTCCTATTATTAATAACTTAAGCAATCAATTTCAAACCCAGAAAGCAGTTCAGTATTGAAGGAGAAACATTTGGACACATGCCCAACACTGTCTCACAACATGCCATATTAATATTTTCATTTCTAAATTTTCCAGAGAAGTCTCTGTTATGGGAAAATTGCAATGTGCGTGCTAACGTTAATTAAATGCACTATACACTTTTATCAAATATTCAAATGAAGGATTAATATAATGTGCTTATCTTCTCCCTTCTGACTGCTCATGATATGGCCGTACCCTTGAGTGTCAGACTCTGGGTTGTCAAAATAAATTTTAATTTTCGGAATGTGTGCATGAGCTTTTAGAAGAGCATCCTGTTTATTTCACACCATAAAAGAAGGAACTTCTCTTTTTATTTTGCCTTCTCTGTCTGATTGTGACAAGAGGTCCATGTACATGCATTAAAGATAAAGCAAGCTTGCTAAGCATTATCTCTGCAGCCTTCTGAGTTTTTCTTTGCACCGCAGATTTTTCCACAACATCTCCCATTTGTTCAAAGGTAATCCGGAACTAAAAATACACTGCGTTGCAGGAAGCTATCCCAGATAGCTCTTGGACTGTGTTATATACATTAAATAATAAAAATAACTAAACTAAAATATTTCTTATTTAAAAAACGACTGATTAACATTTATTTACAATAATTTAGTCACTTTCAATGGGCCTAAATGCCATGATGACTCCCCTCAGCAGTACACAAGACAGTGCAAGCAGTGCTTCATGTTTTCTAAAACCAGTCAGTTTTATGTTAATGAATAAGAAAAATGTAAGTCAATATTGCATGATAAATTGCTTAAAACTGCAACCAGTTCAGTTGAATACACTTTTAAACCATTGTTATGCTATAGTCGAAATCTACCATTGTGACTCTGTAGCCTGCAATGTTTACATTTATTCACAGCGAATGTGAATGGTGGTGGTGACAACT